TGCCCCTCTTGATAGTACGGCCATCTATCCTAAACCCAGTCATCAACTTCTCTACACACCTATGACCGGTGAAATAAAATACCCTAGATTATACCTTTGCCTTGCGCATTCCATTCCATCTCCTCCAATGTCGATGCAACACATGCACCAATATGATCAACAATGATATGATCCACTTCATATCATCATGTGATCATATTGGTTCATAGATCTTGACTTCACTTGCTTTTCACCGTTGCCTTCGTCCATCGGCGCCAAGTCTTGCTCAAGCTTCACCGCCACGCGGTCCATCGCTCCAAAGCCTCTAACTTGCCCTTCACGCTTGCAACCGGTCCATCAAGCCAAGTCTTGTCTTGATCTTCTCCACCTTGATCACATGACTCAATGTCATGTCTCATGTGCAATAAGCCCCTTCATCATCACATGTGTGAGCTTTGCAACATCTCCAAGCCATTTTCACCTTCATGGCATATGTTGCTCACACATATGTACCTGTGGACTAATCACCTGTGTATCTCACATAAACACAATTAGTCCACCTAGGTTGTCACTCAATTACCAAAACCACACAAGGACCTTTCACATCCTTAACTTGAGGGTGTCAATCTCACGCTGGAGCGTGTTTGCCTTTGCCTAGCGCACTCGATGGACGATGCATCGTCTTGATGGAGTCCCAAGCAGGTCTTGGCGGTTCCCTTGGTAGCGATGGTGCCATCCATCTCCGGCAGGACACCCTTCATAATAGCGTCCAATGCCATGTGGTCATGATGCCGATGTCCACCGTCGTCGACGGGCTCCATGCCTACAACTTGGTAGCCGAGCTCTAAACCATTTGTTGTCTCTAGCCCTAGCATCTCCTCGCCGGCAACGATGAAAACACCCTCACGCACACACTACTACACAAAATCTTTTGCGCAGCGTTTCCAAAATGGCCTTGGAGGCGGGCAGCCCGGTTGCCCGCCTCGGTTATTCGAGGCAGGGCAGCCGGGCATTGTAAAATAACCGCCTCGGTAAATCATTAACCGAGGCGGGCATTGTAAAATAACCGCCTCGGTTAATAAGTATTAACCAAGGCATGCATTGTAACATAACCGCCTCGGTTAATAAGTATTAACCGAGGCGGGCATTGTAAAATAACTGCCTCGGTTAATGTATTAACCGATGCGGGAATTAAAACATAACCGCCTCGGTAAATCATTAACCGAGACGGGCATTGTAAAATAACCGCCTCTGTAAATCAGGCCCAGCCCGCTAGCCCACACTAGCCCACTATATATTCAGGGCTTAGGGTTTTCTTTTCCTCCACATGCTCTCTCTCTCAGCCATCACTCTCTCAGCGGCGCCCGTAGCCGAGCGAGTCGCGACTCCCGCGACCCTCCCTCCCTCCACTCTCTCCCTTGCACCTCCCGAGTAGATCCCGGCGAACCCAAGGTCCTCTCCTCGAGATCCACCGGATGCCTTCTTCCTCTCTCTTGGTGGGCGGCGGGCCTGGCACAGCTGCCCCGCCCCGACGTTCGGCCCCGGCGTCGCAGCGCACGCTGCCCTCGCTTCGACGATGCGCGGGACCCGGCGTGCGGTGTCCCGGCGGTGCAGACGCGTGAGGCGGCCCGCTCCCTCACGGCGGCACTCAGGAACCGACGGTGGCGTGGCGAGCGGGACCCAACGGCCAGATCCGTCCTTAAGCAGGTCTCCTCTCTCTCGGTCTACTCTCCGTCTCCCTCTCTCACACTTCGTCTCCTTGCAGATCCAGATCCAGATCTAAGGCGACAGCGGCACGACGGACGAACAGATGGCTCCTCCCGGTGAGATCGAGGTCCTCTTCAGTGCGGATCGACCTCCCCGGCACAGATCTGGGAGTTGTGATTCCCCGAGCGGCGGATTCGGTGGAGGGCGGCGGATCTGCGAGTGGCGACTCCCCGAGCGGCGGATCTGGTGGAGGGCGCTGGCGCTGTGGTTCACGGTGGCGGAAACGGGCTCGCCGGTGAGCTCAGAAACAGGCTCGCTGGTGGGCTTTGGGTTTTTTTTGTTTTTTAATCCATTAACCGAGGCGGGCAAGGCAACCACCACCGTAGTTCACGGATTAACCGTGACCTTTGGACAGAGGCGGTTGCCTTTGTCCGCCTCGGAAAATAAAACGCGCCCGTCTCCGTTAAGTTTATTGCAGTAGTGACACATACATGACACAAGAATGCGATGTACGTAGTCGATTTGTGATGCAAAACCCCGAGTTTTCTAATAGAGTTAAGTGCACGAGCGGTCCCTGAAATTGTCGAGGGGTGTCACTTAGGTCTATGAACTTTGAAAATGCATTTGTAGATCACTAAACTTGTTAAGCGGTACACCGCAGGTCCATATCAGTCACGTGGACATTTTATATGACGTGGCATTGCCAGTGTGATGCTGAGAGTATTTGGCACTTTGCATTTAACCCCTTGAAAATATTCCACGCGAGTGCACCGATCCTCGCTCTGGCCCACGCGTGCCGGCGACCGCCGCTGCAGTAGCCAACGCCGACAACCTTGCCCCTTCCCCTCGAGCACCTCGCGAGACTGCAGCACCGTACTCCCAACTCCCGCTCCAGCCCCCATTCGAGCCGGCGACCGTGGCCACGCCGCCCTAGCGCCGGACGCTGGTGGCACTGCCCCCGGCCCTCCCTCCTCCACGCCCCACGCGAGACAGCAGTCCTACGTGTACAGCGATTTCTAGCCTTCGGCGCAGCAGCTGTCGCTCCCCACGCCTTGGCATCGTTTCATGCAAGGGCCTCCTTCCGGTGCGCACCGCTGATGGCAAGGGATGCACTGACGCGTACGATGTCAAGTGGCCATGCACGTGCACCATCACCAACAGCTTTCCTCGAACGAGCAGTACACTACTAAGTGAAAGAAACAGATTAGACAATCGCAATGCGAGGACTAGAGAGAACACAGCGTATAGAGTATACTCCATCTGATGCCGGAGTTAATTAGACACCATTTTTCACCAAAAGCTTCGGATCGAGTTCAGATTATTCGCTTGTTTTATAATCCATACTATTTAGCTTGTTTTTTCAGCTGAAACAGTGTTTTCTCTCACAACAAATCAGCGACAGCCATGGCTTATCAGCCAAGCGAAGAGGGATGGACGTGCTACAAACAGGATGATGGGCACGCAGCTGAGGAACAGATGGTCGGCGACATCGCGAGACGCAGGTAGAGGCTGCAGGCGCTCCGTGTGGCGGCGTGACCCACGCGCCACTGTGTTGTTCCTTGTTCGTCGCGCGCCACTGGCATGCGCCCCTGCCCCTTCCCCTCAAGCCCGTACTCTCCAGCCCCGCGTGAGCCGGCGATCGTGGCCACGTGCCAGCAGCCCAGCAGCGCCCCCTCCCAACACCGCACACGAGACGGTGGCCCCACATCACGGGCGACGCCGATGCTGACTCAGACGTGGAGCTGGGCAGGGTGGGCGTTCGGTTCTCGGTTCGGTTCCCATGGTTATTGATGAAATTCGGTTCCTAAACAACGGGAATCGATCGGTTCCAAAAATTTTTAGGAACCGAGCATTTCGGTTCTCGGTTATTTCGGTTCGGTTCCGGTTCTAACCGAACTAACCGAATTTTTTCAGAAGATCTCAAGACAATAATAAATATGCTTGTTCTAAGGCAAATTTATGCAACACTATATTCATTTTTAATAATAATAATATATAATAAAACAATAGCAATATAGTAACACAAATATATAGCAGTTCAAATATAAAACACTACACATAAACCAAACATATTCCTACAAAATAAAGTAAGTGAAGTATAATTCATGTAATTCGGCTCTTTCGGTTAATTCGGTTAACCGAGAGTAGGAACCGAATTTTCTTCGGTTATTTTGGTTCCTCAATATCAGGAACCGAATAAGGAACCAAATTTTTCGGTTCCGGTTCTTTCGGTTCGGTTTTCGGTTCTCGGTTAAATTTGCCTAAGGCTAGAGCTGGCCACTGCCGGGGACATGGTCGTGCCACCGCGATTCCACGGACGGAGGAATCAGGAGCGAGTCCATGGACTTCTTCTTTGTCGCATGCCCGCCTCTTTACTTTGCTCGTTGGTCGGCTGCTGCTACTTCATTGTCGACGGTGGCTACTACTGGTGTGGAGGAGAAGATCGAGAGGCAACATATGTGAGGAATCGAAGGTAGGGTAGGCAGCGAGGTGCTATTCCTCCGTCGCCAATCAACGCGTGGTGGACGGGTGGAGCAAGGGCAAGGGGTATACAGAATAACAGAAAGAGATGAGGTATAGTTGAGAAAAGAAGAGAGGTTGGGTGAGAGTGAGATAGATGAAATATTTTTGAGGGGTTAAATGCAAAGTGCCATATGCAGTCAGCGTCACAGTGGCAATGCCACGTCATATAAAATGTTCACATGGCTGACATGGACCTACGCTGCACCACTTAACAAGTTTAGTGGCCTATAAATGCATTTTTAAAAGTCCATGGACCTAAGTGACACTCCTTGACAAGCTCAGGGACCGCTCATGCATTTAACTCTTTCTAATACTACTTTCGTCGTTGAATAAATAAATTCGTAGAGTTGTATTAAGTCAAATTTTTAAAAATTTAACTGAATTTACAGAGAAGAGTGCTTAGATTTGTAACACCAAATTAGTATTATTAGATACAACATTAAATATATTTCCAAATATGATCACTTGGTGTCATAAATATTTGTGTTTTTTTATAACTTTGGTCAAACATAAAAAAGGTCTAACTTAATAATATCTAATCTAAATTGATTTATTCGAGTGACGAAGTATTGCTCTAGACAGGACTCTACATACAAAACCATCGTGGTCGTCATGATCTCCACGACGCCTGCCCGCCCACGTCTCCGCACAAGCCGCGCCATCCCACAGCTCAAAGACATGCCTCTCGCCACGGTAGAACAACCGAGAAAACGAGAAGCCACCGCATGAACTTGCATGCTCTGACCTGTACATGACGCTCCCAATTTAGCTACAAAACTGCAATTGAACTTCTAATATATATCTAGCTTCGGCATCTTGATATTGACCTTGCATCCGATTCCCCTTAATTTCTCGATGTTTTGCAGAGACACGTATTTAGAATCCCAGTGACGCAAATGCAACTCTTGAAGTGATTTCACGTGGACTAGTCCCAGTGGGGGAAGAGTCATCTCTCGAAAGCTGGAGATGAGATTTAGCTGGATCAGGGAAGGAAATGTGCCAGCCTCAATGTTCCAGTGCCTGACATCATAGACCTCGTTGAATGTCAGATATTGCAACCTACGGAATCCATCTGCAGTGCATGTCATTGTCTTCCCTTGGTATGCTCCATACTCCAAGGTTAGCACCACCAGGTTCAGAAGCTTGCCCAGCACCGGCATTGGGTCCTCGCGCAATCTAGAGCCTACCAGCTTGAGCTTTTTCAGGTTACAGGGTAGCATGGCAAAATGACTTATCGGCAGACTCCAATGAAGTTGTCCGGACAACTCTAACACACAAAGGCAGTTATGACCAGAGAGTACCGTGATTAATCTCTTTGGAAACATGGCCTTCTCTCTCTTTCCGCTGACAGAGTACCAACTCTCCAGATGAAGAAACACAAGCTGCTTCATTTCTGGCAGTGCTTCAATCAAGAGAGTCCATTCTCTGTCATTTGCCTTCTTGCTCGACTTGTTTGATGCCCTAGCAGCTCTTCTATACTTAGAAATCTGGTACTTTTTAATATCATCTAAAGAGCATACACCAGAGAAGTGCAATGTCTGTAATTGAAGAAGGCACCGGACCTCAGGTGCAGCCCAGCAGTACACATCAGTAAGATGAATATGCCTGAACGTTGGAACATCCCAGAAATACCGTGGCAGTGATCCGAGCGTCGAATTTCTCACATCAACAGTTTGCAAGTTCAAGAGATCTGAGACAGATGAAGGAATATCAATTGGTTTGTGGCCATTGTTTTGCAGTCCAAGGTACCTAAGATACATCATCTTGCCAATACCAGAAGAGCAGCCTCTTGAGGTCTTTTATTCCATAAAGATCAAGCACTCTGAGAAATGTCAGGCTGCATAAGCCCAATGCATTTGACAATGAGCCACTCAGCCATAAGGTTCGCAACTTTGGCATGGACGCAACGATTTGACTGCAGCCAGAAAAGTTATGGAAAGCAATTCGGTAAGATGGCATCGAATCTGAATACACCACAGGTACTGTTGTATTACACCAAATATTAAAAAACCCCTCTCTGCTTGCCTCTTTGATGCCCCAATCGCGAAGAATGTCGTGGAGGATTACACTTTTTATTGAGCCATCCACTTTGCTCCTATCAACTACTTGGATCATGCACCTGTGAGCCAACTCGTTTGTGTACTCTCTTGCTGTATCTTCCATTGTGCGGTTGTGCCTCTCAGGAACAAATCCTTCAGCGATCCACAGCTTGCTAAGCTTATTGACACGTATGACGTGGTCCTCTGGGAAGGATGCCAAATAAAGGAAGCATGATTTCAGGTGATGATTTGGCAGATCATTGTAACTTCTAGCTAATATGTCCCAAACTGGCTCATCATCCTTGCGAGCTTCCCAATCCAAATTGTCAACCAGTCGCAACCAAATGTCATAGTCCAAGTTCCTCGAAAGATATCCTCCCAGCACCACAAGAGCAATCGGCAACCCGTTGCATTTAACAGCCAATTTCTTTCCAATAGGTGTCAGCTGTGACCGATCACTGGGGCTAAAATTTTGGTTCTGCTGAAAGGCCTTCTTCTCAAGCAGCTCCCAGCTATGGCCCTCGTCCAAAAGCTTCATCTGATGGATGCTATTCCTCTTGCTGACATGCTTTGCGACACTTAGGTCTCGAGTGGTCAACATAATTCTACTCCCATTGTTAACATCTGGAAAGAGGCTGATGATCCTATTGATCTCGCTATAGGAATTACACCTCCAGACGTCATCCAGCACAACAAGAAACCTTCTATGTGCAAGTTCCTTCCGCAGAAGTTCACTTATTTCTTCCTCGTCCATCTTCTCCAATGCTTCGATCGTTAACTGATTGTTCTCTTTACCATCTTTGCTTGTCCGCTCACCATCTTTGCCTGTCCCCTTTCCATTTTTGCTTGTCCCCTCTCCATCTTTGCTTGTCCCCTCTCCATCCTTGTTTCTTTCCTCCCTGTTCTTCTCACTTTTGATGTCAATAATCCTCTTAGCTACATCCTTGATAAGATCAAGGAACGTGTATTTCTGAGAGACTACTAACCAACAAAAGGCCTGAAAATGCTGTTGAGAATGGAAAAAATTGTAGATTTTTTTTGCAAGCGTTGATTTGCCAGATCCACCCATCCCAACTATGGAAACAACACAAATTTGCAGGGTCTTTGTATCAATCAATTCTTTGATGATCTCATTCCTCTCTTTGTGGAATCCAACAACCCAACTATCGTGTCCACCAGCCCAACGAAGGTCACAGGGCGTCGTCACATCTATGTCCTGTGGAGAAACTGAGATGCTGGCCTCACCGAGATTTGCGATTCCGTAGGCGACGGCGCCATCGGAGATCTCTCGGATCCTGGATCGGACGCGCCTAATCTTCTGGCCAAAACTGTGGAGCGCGGCGAGGTCAGCGCACCAGGCGAGAAGGCCAGAGTAGCCGCGCCGCAGGGCGCGGCGGCGCGCGAGGAGGTCGGCCTCCTCGAGGGCGTCCTCCGCTTCGTAGGCGGCCGCGCGGACGTCCACCGCCCAGTTGGTGACGCGCTCGCTGCCGAGGCCGCCTGGCGTCAGCGGCGTCGCGGAGGAAGCACTGCATGCGGCGGAGCTCGGCCCTGAGGAGGTCGGCGTCGGCGTTGACGCCGCGCAGGAAGGCGGCTTCCTCGGCGATCATGTTGCCTACCGGGCGCAACACTGACGCCACTGAGGATTCCAACATGGCCGGCACCCGGCAGGAGGACGCGCTTGCTTTGCTTGGATGCGTGCTTTCACTTCGTAGCTTTATGGTCGCGGTCTTGAGTGCGCGCGTGCTAAGTTTCCGCGTTTCCTGTGCAGTTGTGCTGCCTATTTTTTTTTTAGGGATATTCTTCATTCTTGTGCTGCCTCCTTATTGCACGGAAGAATGACAAAAGGCCTGGTCAAACTACGGGCCAGGGCCGGCAATGGAATTGCAAGTGGTTTACTAAGTAAAACAATCACCCTTTTCGCATGAACTTATCAATCATGGTATATTATTTTTCTCTGCCAGCCAAACAGCTTGAATAGAGATAAATTCTGTTCCGTGACGCCCCGATCTCTGTATTCAACTCTTGACCGTTTTTGCTATCCTCGTTTCAACAAAATTAACTATACGAGCATTTTCGTTATATTCCCGTTTATGGTCTGGTTAGTCTGTCCAATAATGCAGCCTAACTAATCCCACGGCACCGCAGCAGCCTAGTGTAAGTAGAGCCTCGTTAAAACCTTACGTGCATTCCGTTTTAGCGTTTTTCCGGAAAAAATCGTTTCGTCTTTGTCGCTTGGTAGATTTGGATATTGAGGGTCGCTCGCCATCTGCGTTTTCCTGTGTGTTTGTCCGTCCGCCAGCAGCATGCAGGCCCACGATCTTCTCATGCAAGACACTTCCGCAAAAGTTCACTTATTTCTTCGTCGTCCATTTATCCAATGCTTTGGATCGTTAAAAAATTGTTCTCTTTACCAAAATTTACGATTCGCTTACGATCAAGCTTGCCTGTCAGTTCCATCTTTGCTTGTCTCAAGTCTAAAATAGAGAGCCTAATTTAGACACTATGTTGCGGAACTTTATATGTTTTGATGGTCTATAAAGATTTAGAGAGCCAATTTAGAGATCCAAATTTATATAAATTCTTGGAGTTGCTCTTGGGGTGTGTTTGAGGCCTCCAAATGGTTTTGAGAATGGAAAAAATTGTTTTTTTTTTTTGCAAGCGTAGATTGCCAGATCCACACATCTCAACTCTAGGAAAAAAAATGTACAAATTTGCAGAGTCACATATCAATCAATGTTTTACAAACTTCATTTTCTTTATGAAGCTACTCTAACCCAGAGTTTATAGTGTCCACCAGCCCAAGGGTGGTCGCAGGGGCAGCTCGTCCTAGGCCCTATGGAGCCGAGGGGAAACCCAAGAGGCATAGATTAGCACTAGTATTCAACATTTTAGCCTAGTAAACATACGACATATAAATCAACACCGTGTGTCCATGATCACGCGACTCGTCTCCTCTCTCCGACTTCTCGGCTTCCTCACGAGTCACAGCAGCAGGCAGACACTGCCGCCGCCAGACAACGAATCGCCGACCGGGCACATCTGCACGGTGATCCGCATAGGGCAACGACTTTCAGCAGGCAGACACTGCTGCCGCCAGGCAGCGAGTCGCCGGCGGGGCACGTCTGCATGGTGATCCGCATAGGGCAACGACTTTCAGCAGGCAGGCAGCAGCAACCAACCAATCATGTGTGAATCTCTGTCATCCCTAATCATGTGTTAGGCACTTCGACTTCCTAAGGCAGTGTAGAATTGTTTAATCTTTGTGAATTCTCTTTTGTCTAGCGTACTGATATTATTTAAAATTGCATTTACTAATTGTTTCTCAAAATTAAAAGTGCTAAAGAAGAGATCTACAATGTCATAAGAGAGGTTAAATGGATTGACAACATTATGCATGGAGAAGCGTTTGTTGAAAGAGATTGATAGTAATAATCCGTTCGGCTGGCTATGCTGTTGGCTGCTGCTGCAAAAAGCAAGCAGCAAGCACTATTCATCCAAGCTTCAAAGAAGCCAGTTGTAGCTTAAAGGCAGGCAGACAAACGGTGCCTTTGCGTCGAGGAATGTTGGGAGAAATTTTTGAGATGTTTTAATATATATACAAATTATTTCATATGAATATTAATAGCATTTCGTATATGTGTGTATATATACTAGCAGTGAGTAGTACTTAGTAGTGTTATCATGTTTATAAAAAAGATCCAAAATTTTAGTTTTGTTCTAGGGCCTTGTTTATTCCCGTTTTTGGTCTGGTTGGTATTGTCCAATATTTTCAGCCTAACTTGGCAATTAGTGTCCAATCATAGTCTAATTAGGCTTAAAAGATTCGCCTCGTTAATTTCTTACGTGTAAACCGTAATTAGTTTTTTTTTTTAAAAATATTTAATGCTTTGTGCTTGGTAGATTTGGATTTGATGTCGCTCGCCAATCTTTTCCTGGTTTTGTCCGTCCGCCAGCAGCAACTAGGTTCACAAAAACTAAAGACCGACACAGTCTCACATCTGTATTGTCTCAAGTCTAAAATACACCCTTAATATGCTATGGATTTATCGTGTTGCACTCAGTGGCAGAGCTCTCGGTAGGGTTGGGTATGGCAGACGTCCTACACCTCAAGTTTTTCATGTTTTGTTTTTGTTGTGGTTGTATCATGTGTTTTTTTCCTCAAGGTCTATGTCATTAATGAAGGCGTGGAGCTCGGACAATTCTACTGCCACACCTCACTTTTTATCTGTCATCCACCATTGGTTGCACTAATGTACTCTCGTCATCTTTTTGATCTTATGGTACTAAATTAGAATTACTTAGGGCATGCACAACCCACATAGGGGAGGCCGTCTACACGGGAGGTCGTCTACAAGAGCCTCGAATCCGATATACAAACAACTAGAGAGCCCGAGGGGCCCCCCCCAAGTAGGCATAGATTAGCACTGGTATTCAACATTTTAATATTTTGCATGTAGCTACATATCATTCAACACCGTATTATTTAATATACCATTGTGTTGCTATTTAATATGTGCAAGTGTTGAGTACACTAGAAATAAGACCACAACAAGTACTATGTGCCGCCAGGTTTACTAGAATAATCGCCCACCACATATATTTTAGGACTGAGAACCGCATGCTATTCAACGTTCATCTCTAGTTCATGCAAGACAGGCATATAAACTTTTTGCAAAAGAACATCACTAACAAAATCATTCCATCAACAGAAACTGAAACTGAAACTGCACTGCAATCAGAGCTGCCATTCAGTTTTCCATAGATTAGAGCTGAAATTGAACTGCAATAACAAAAAAACAGAACTGCAGTTTTCTGAAAAATAGATAAGAGTTACTAAGTTCAATACGAGGATAGAAAAAAATAAGGTTTCTCAAATCTTTTTCTTCTCCAATCTTCTCACTTCTCATGACATTACTGATATGTATGTAGAAATGAATTTACTAATTGCAATCAGAACAGATGAACAACCAGGTAAAGAATAGATCTACAATTCCAGCAAGGATTCTTAAATTGATTGCGACAACCATTCCCTTCATAGAGCCTGTTCGTTTGTTGAAAGAGATTGATAGTAACAATCCGTTCGGCTGGCTATGCTGTTGGCTGCTGCTGCAAAAAGCAAGCAGCAAGCACTATTCATCCAAGCTTCAAAGAAGCCAGTTGTAGCTTAAAGGCAGGCAGACAAACGGTGCCACTAGAATCGATCCAAGAGAGAATGTGGTTGCAGGAGAAATTTGAGGAGAAATGTTTTAATATGTATCCTCGAATTATTTCATATGAATGAATAAATCGATGGTGCATATGAAGGTGTGGAGGAATCCGTGCCACTTAAGTAGTGTTATCATGTGAAGGTTGGGACCCCGATCCAAAATTTACATTTTGTTCTTCCTTCACAAAACTAAAGACCGCATTGTTCCATCATCAAAGCAAATGTTCATGGCGCTGAGCAGTCCCAAATACACCCTTAATATGCTATGGATTTATCGTGATGCACTCAGTGGCAGAGCTCTCGATCCCGGCGTTAGCCTAGAGACAGACGTCCTACACGCCAAGCTTTCACATGAGCTTCTATGTCATTAATGAAGGCGTGGAGCTCGGACAATTCTACCCCGCCACACCTCAAGCTTATCTGTCATCCACCATTGGTTGCACTTATGTACTCTTGTCATCTTTTTGATCTTATGGTACTAAATTAGAATTACTTATGTGATGATAATGTTGTTGTGTCATTTGGGTGTTTTGTAATTTAATTGGGCGTGTCTCATTAACTCAACTAAGTTATAGCGACCACGATAAAGTGTGAAATTAGCTAAAGATAGACTCAACTTAGGGCCTGTTTGATAAGTTTCATATTCTTAAAAATCAACTGTTGCCTCTAGTTTCTAAAATATGAATTCTGAGAAAAAACTAGTGAGGGTGTTTGGATCTCCAATTTTTAAGAATCTGACTTTATTTATTACTTACATGTCACAAGAAACTGGCAAAAGATTGATATTGACAACTTCATGGTTTTTAAAATTTAGCAACAACTAACACAAGAAACTAGATAAAGAGTAGTATATTTGGATCCCACCTAATTTTTAAAACCAGATTCTTAAAAACTTGAGGATCAAAACAGGGTCTTAAGATTAGATGGATATTGCATTGTATCTATTGTGAAGTTGAAAAGACGAAACGGCGCTTACCACCCACGCGCGTGTCAAGCTGAGGCGTGGTGCGTGTTAATAAAAGTCGAGTCGCAGGCTTAGGACGGCTAGACCACGACATATGTGGTGCTATACCAGCGAAGGTACCACTTTGAGTTTTTGATTGATGACACCGAGTTATGGCCGTGATCTGAAATTTGTTTCTGCCACGTTTGACCTGATGCCCGTTAGGTTCGATCAGCTGTTCCAATGAAGTGGGCCTAGTTGGTGAGACAAGTGCATTCCGTCGGCCCACACAGAAAGGGAGAAAAAGGCCTCTTTCTACTTTATGGGCCCAACTTATGATGCGAATATATAGATGAACAAAACTTGAGTGGTTTTCCATTAAAAAAACTCGGACGTATAAACCACTCGGCACTCGGCAGCTTCATTCTTTCTTGTTCAAATTTGACTGATATCAGTTTTAGCAATGTTTGGTTATTACGTAAAGTAACAAAAAGTATTGTTACATTTTTTTCATCAAATTTACTTTCACAATGTTAATTACTCATATATGCTTTTAAATGTTTGCATAAGCATTTGCTGCAAACTGACGTACTACAGTGTTAGAACATACACAGTTCAAAAAGTGCATAAGTATTCTGAAAAGAACGCTATTTTTCCCCCGAGGGAGAGAGATTTCAGATGGAATGCTGTTCCCTGTGGCAAAGGAGATGGGAACGAGATATCGCCGCAGACCGGTGGTGGCGCCTCGACAATAAAGTTAACTTACTAACTTCAAAAAGAGAGAGTAAATTAATATACTAGTATAAAAAATTATAAACACAGATACATAAATCATATGAAAGTGTGTGAAGACATCCTCAATAGTATGAGCTAGTTATTAGCTCTAAAATAATTTATCTAATTATACTACCTTTTAACACATAGCTCATAACATGAATATCCGCACGTGACATCCTTCTATAATCTTGAAATGTATATATGAGTCTATGAGACCAGCTCTTAATTAAGACTTAGTTTTTCTCTCTTTTTATTAAAAAATGAAACAATGCTTTGAGCTAGCTTGGAGCTGCGTTAGGGCACACCCCAATATTATGAGATACTCCATCCGTTCAATAAA